GAAATTAAGCAGTATTAACCCAATCAGTATTTAGATTTGGCGGGAGGGAGCACATTAATGAAAATTGCATGAGTTAATAATAAATAGCTAAATAAAAATATTTATAGTAGATGGTTCAAAACTTTAGCATTGGAGAAATTGTCGAATATTGGCATTCGAACAATACCGAAGATCACAAGTTTTGTTCGGTGGGGGAGGAAAAAAACAAAGTGCAGTAGAATTTTTAACTCATGCTTTATCTACGTTGTTTTATCATATGAGAACGGCCCGCGTGTTAAATTGTTAATGAATACAGTATCTGCCGTGCGCCGACGGCTTAGGGGTAGAATCCCCGACTGACGCCAATTCAGTCGGGTTTCGATCCTAGCTAGAGACAACCGGACGTCTAGCCACACTGATGAGCTGTGATACAGCGAAACAGTCTGTCTGTGGATGACAAAAGACCTATAAAAAACAATAAGAAAATTCCAAACTAAGATAGACAAAAAGAAAAAAAAAAGACCAAAGTGCAAGTTCCTTTTTAAGCAGCAAATAAAATGTTCAACCCTAGCTATCCTGACAGAGCAAAACAAAAATAACTTCAAGGTTTCAACACTCAACGAGGCAAATCTCAAGTCGCTACTTAAGTTTCACGCTTTAACGATCTTCAGGCTATAATATATATATATATATATATATATATATATATATAATGTATGTGTGTCTATAGTTTAAAATTAGCTATATTTTTAGGAATAATGTTCAATATTAGAACGTCTGTGGATATCGACAGTGCGAGCATTGGAATCGACACAGCACGATGAAAGTCAGTTTACCGCCTCAAACAGTATGGTTTAAAAATTGCATGAAGCTGACATTTACCAATCTTTATTTGTTGAATAAAATCTAAAGCAATATAATTCGAGATATATATATATATATATATATATATATATATATATATATATATCATTACATTTAAGAAGGGGGTTATTCGGATAAAATTTTTAAACGAAACGTAAACAAAAATTTGAATATCTAATTGTTTTTCATATATTCCATCTCAAATGCTTTGTTCAGGAATTATGCACACACACACATATGAAGAAATATAGTTTTAAGGTGTGCTATATTTATGGTTTAAAGTGGTCAATATCAGAGATAGAGCGTATGTAAATATAAATATAAAAGTGAACATTGAAGTCAACACTCAGAGGCGACAGGCTGTTTCATGCTAGACGCAATCGTCAGGCCGCGCCTGATATATAATGAATGAAAGTATTTTTACATTGCGTGTCTCAGCCAAATATGAGAGACTCGGTGAGTATCGAACTCGCCTCGCTATTCAATTGTATTGACCTAGGTGAGCAAGTTGTTTATTATGACAGAGGACCCCCAAAAAGTGTGCGGTTACACTTCTCCTGATATGCCTAAGAAAGTATATATTGCGTGCATGTGTACATGAAAGCTGTATTATTTTGAAAATGTAAAATTATTAAATTATACATCATAGCAGATTACACGCACAGCACCGTAGACAAAATGGTTGACACTCGATATCGTATTTAACATTGTCAAAAATTAACTTTCATATTGAGTTATTTTGTTTGCTTTATTTCTTCTCTTAGGTTAATTTTCAAAATATAACTTTGTTTACAAATAACTGTTATCCCAATAACAAGCGGCCTATGAAGAAAAGAAGAAATAGCCATAGTTTTAAGTTATTTTTTTTTTTAAATATACCATCTAAAAATCAACGGATAACTAAAATATACATTTTGTTTACAAAACCCTCTCATTCTAATTTGGTGGTACGATGTATAGTGCAAATATATAACGTGATTATCAGATTATTGCATACTTTTTAAGTATTTCAGCAATCATATTAATGCTTACAGCACAAGACAAAAGAAAAATGTGTTCAATTTAATTGGAAATTAAAAGTAAATTTCTTAGTGGAAATCGACTATGATTTTAACGTAGAAATTAAAGCGTACACAATTGTATGTATTGAGTGTGATGCAGTCACTACAGAATCTAATATAAGACATCAAATGTGTATGTTATTGAATCGAGAGATATCGAACTCTACTGGAAAAAAATGACAGAATTTGTAAAAACTGTCCTTCACAAAATGATTAGATTTGTTTTTATGACATATCAAGCTTTGTGTTAATTAATGTCATATTATTTATAGGGATCCTAGTGAGGATCGAATTATTTACTCACTGGTAATAGCCAACGAGACGAACCGGGTTAAATATTACTGCCACACTGAATTCCCCACTCCTCTAATAATATCTGAGCATCTGTGTGTATATTTATTGAATTATTTTTTGGAAATGATAAATAAAATTTGTAAAATAAGGGACACGTACTAAGCTTAACTCGCACTCCCTCAAAATAGGTAGGTAGGTAAGCAATTAGGTAGGTAGGTAAGAAGAAACGTTTACACGCAAATAAATATATCATATGATAAGTGTAAGTGTCAGAGTTTTAATGTTTTCTCTTATGAATATCACTGCTTTGTTTTTGTTTGTCATACAAAACGAAATAAATGCTTGAGACGTGAATGTAATCCCTGCTTTGTTAAGATCAAGGTAGGTGAATGTGAATAACATTGTAAATTTCGCTTTACATATTTAGTTACCAAGTAATTTTATCATTGTAAATTTCGAAGAGTGTACAATAACATTCCCATAAGTAATCAATATTCTGTAACAGCGGATTCAGTTCGTTGAATTTTGATCAGGAAATATCGATGCGACTCATGGAGAAGTGCTTGGTTAAGGGCATGAAACATGAAGGATATCATATAGTAAAAACAAATATTTGTTGCAGAATAGAACTTTTCATCAAATGAGTTATGGATTTATTGATGTATATATATATATATATATATATATATATATATATATATATATATATAATATATATGAAGTAACCATGCTATCCAAAAGAATAACGAGGAGCTAATCGAAGTGCTCAATGTAACTTAAGTAATAAAGCAATATATATATATATATATATATAAAAACGCATCATATGAAAGTTTTTTTCCCTTTGTCATAGATTCCCCCCATACTATATATATATATATATATATATATATATATATATATATTTGTGTGTGTGTGTGTAAAAGTTAAAAATACTTATCTTCCGGCTCCAAGTTCCGCAGATACTCTGCTCGTAAGTCTAAGGTAAATCTATTATTTACAAGAATCTACGCACCTTGATACACTTCAAACTCCTATAATTTTGACTGACTTGTTTTTGTTAAAACAAATATATATATATATATATATATATATATATATATATATATATATATATATATATATATATAAAATGTGTGTTTGTTTTTTGAGTGAAGATTAGCTTTATATATGCATTTTTGAATGTAAAACGATACCTATGTAACAAATAGTCTCCATCGTTGAAAATAAAAGGCGGTAAAAAATATATATATTTTTTTAAAAAATGATAATCATATTTCTTTGCCTACCTATATACCATCATTTTCCCGGTCGGATTCAAATGCCACAGACCAGCCACGAAATCAATTTTTTTTTCTTCAGCCCATAACAGGCAAAGATAAAAGTCCCGGAATTCGCATTCCTTGTTTTTATGAATTCTTCGTTTCAATTCCATTTAGGTTTGAGTTTTTTCGTTTATTATTTTTTTCGCTTTATTTTTGTTTTCCTTCCTTCGTTTTTTCTGATTTTTTTCGTATAAATGAGAGCTTTAGGCTTCCATCATTCGTATATTTTATCCATTGAATTCTTAATATTTTTTCTCTAAGTGAAAAAGAAAACAGAGCCACTTCTTTATCATTTTAGTTGGGCCCTGTTTTCTCCATTTTTTTTTTTTTTTTTTTTAAATATTCTCATTAATCCAGGAAAGTATGCTCTTTTTTCCGCATGATCTATTTTCCGTTAACTTACGTAGTGATCGAAAAACTGCTCGATCGATCGATCGATCAATATGCCGAGTGATAGACATTTAAATATATGACATGAAGAAGTGCCTGTGAAAGAAAGAAAAAAGAGGAAGAAAACTGAAAGAAAGAAAATAGAAAGAAAAAAGAATAGGATGAAAAGAGAAAGAAAGAATGAATGAAATAGTTATACAGATAGTCTATTATAAAGAGATTAAATTGAACAACTCGACTGAGAGGAAGAGACACAGAAGGAAAAAAAAATAAGATCGATCGATCGACAGAGATATTGACAGATATCAATATTAAACATTTGTTAATATTTTTATTTTATTGTTTTTCACAGAAATATTGGATGATATTTCCCAACCAACAAAATGAAACGATTTTTTTTTTTTTTTTTAAAACATTTCAACTTTTTTTTTTGTTTTTATAGAAACACAAAAATATCCAAAAGCATCCAAACAAAAAAACAATGGCTGTAACTGTTTTCACATGATAAAATTAATGTTTTGGAATCACAATCGTTTGTCTTTAAAGACGAATTTTTTTTAATTAGTCTGTATCATTTATATATACTTCCTTTTCATATGTGCACTAGAGGATTTAATGCGTGTGTGTGTGAATTTACGTGTGTTTTTTTTTTTATATATATAATATACGTCGTAGCGTTAACAATATTTTTAATTTTTTTTTTTTTTTTTTTTTGTGCAGTTTCCTTTCTGCTATTAATTAACGCAAATTTAAATAATATTTACCCCGTCCAACGACACGTCTTTGATATAACAACAAATGACACTTGGTTCCATCACTTTTGAGAAAGGTTTATACATCGACTAATAAAAAAGTCGACGCATTTCAATGTGTGTTGATGTGTGTCTTTATGCGTGTGTGAGTGTTTTTGTCCATCACGTCTCTGCTTTTCGCATCCCGTCGTATTTCAACTTCTTACGTCAACTGACCCATCGCACTTTCAACAAATGTCTTACACCACACGTTTTACTTTCATCCTTACAAGTCTTTGTATATATATATATATATATATATATATATATATAATTTAAGTAACAGGTTTCTTACATCATTTCGTTTGTTCTGTGTATTGTTTATACAATTCACTATTTCTTTTCATTATGTCCAAACAAGAGCCCAACAAACGTTCAAATGAGTCTCTCTGCAAAAAGGCGACCTGAACGTCACCCAAGGCATATACATTCGCCGAGCGGGGTTTGTTTTCGATCAGAGCCAGCTCGCCGAAATAAGTACCTTTCGACAACCGACCGACTTCTTCCTCTTCAGCTTCGGGATCATCGGGGTTGGAGATGGTGACTTTAATTTCACCCCGCTCCACAAAGTACATACCGTGTGCGGCGTCGCCTTGTTTAATTATTTGGGTCTTGTCAGCGTGGGTTTGCGAGACGAGAGCATCAGCTAGGCTCATTCGCTCGTACTGGTCAAGCGACTTCAGAATCGGCACGTTCTCTAAAAAGTCCTCGTACATCTTTCGTTTCTTGAAGGCACTTTTCAGCACGATTCGCCGAAAGGAGTTTCGGTCCATTGCCCATAGTGTCCCCCCCTCCGAGACGGCTGTCACTGTAGCGGAACGTGGCATGTTGTAGAGTAACGCTAATTCACCGAAACTTCCTGTGTTGACGAACTGGTGCACCTTTCGGCTTTGCCCGTTTGTTTCGACAGTTACATCATAGACGCCGCTGTCGATCACGTAGAAATTATCGCCATCGTCGCCCTGCGTAATGACTTCTTCACCGGGGCTCACTTTCTTCTCGAACATGGCGTCCAGCACTTCTTGCATCTGATCTGAGTCAAGACATCGAAAGATGAGAATGCCACAAACGGCCTCGGTCAGCCTCCGACGCTGCTCGTCCGTTTTGGGGTGTACCACTTTTTCGTCGTCATCATCGGCCTCGGGGTCATACCTCTCGGCCGATACCGAGTGGCGCCGGGCTGCCCTGTTCGAGAAGTTCGTTTTGGGCTTCAAGGTGGACGGCTCGGGTTCTCCGGCCTCCCCTTCGTCAACCATAATGTACATTGGGACCGTTTTCGGTTTACGATTCTCACGGACACGCGTAAAATAATCAATAGCGTAGTCGTATATATCAGCTGGGCGTTCTCGTAAAACGGCCACTGTGAAGTCCCTTAGCATATCACCGAGACCTTCAGGAATTTCGAAGCTCATGTCTTCGATTTTCGATTCAAGTTCGATTTCGTTTTTCTTGTTTTAACAGATTTTTTTTTCTTATAATTTTTCTTTTATTTTACGCTTACGCGTGTAAATATGTGATGTGCAAAAATATTCGAGTCTAAGTGTATGTACCTCGGAATGTGTACGTACTGTATATTCAGAGTGGGTGGGGGTCTTTCTTAAATACAAACCGTGTGTGTTAAATCACACACTGCCAAATGATCCGGTAATCCTTCGCCTCTCTCTCAGTTGTTGAGATTTCTTTTACTGTTTAAAAGTAACAGAAGTTAGCTTTTGTTAAAGCGATTTTTCCTGAGCGTTTTTTTTTTTTTTTTTCCTCCTTCCTTCCCGTTCAACTAGTGAAGTTAATTCCTTTTTGGTAAATTTTATCCGTCGTTTTTAATTTCAGTAGGTAAAATTGGTATCACCTGATTACCCACTTGCACGAAGAGATGTTGTTGTTTTTCCGTGTTTCTCATTTAAAAGACACGTTCTGAGTATATAAAATGTTGTTTTAGTGTTTTGATTCAAAGTACTACAGCAGATATTTTTTTTAAATTGTTAGTTTTCTTTTCTTATGAATTTTGACGTCGTATACTTTCCATATGAATTGTTGTGCTTATCGAACGACTGTAAAATATCCGTGTAACTCCGTATGTAATTTCACTGCCTTTCCTAATTTTGCCTTCACGTTTGTTTTTTGTTTGTTTTGTTTAATGTATTTTCTATATTGCTCTCTCTCTCTTTCCCTCTCTCTTGGCTAATTATTCTTTTCTTGTTTTGATATTTCTCTCTCTTTCTCTCTCTCTAGCAATCTGCCAATTCTCACTCACAGCATTTTCTCTATTTCTTACTCCCTTTCTCCCACACTCACTCACTCACTCCTTACGTTCAAATCTTTCGTTTCTGAGTTGTTACATTCGAAAATAAAAATAAAAAAGTAACAACAACGAAAAGAGTAGACAATAGGAGGAACAAGAGTCGAAACTCAGCAAAACGAAACGAAAAACAACTTTTTTTTTTTTCCTCTGTCACTCGATGTGTCTAAACCAGAAACGATATAACAGCAGAAGAGAAACTACACTACAGTTGTAGCGTCGTCGGGATTCTGTTCTTGCCTGCCAGCCACCCAAATGTCTCTTACTCGTTGCTATACTGCACACACGTATGTATCGGTGTATATATGTACGTGTGTGTGTGTGTTTGTGTGTGTGTATGTATTTTTATATCTGTATGTGTGTATGCGTGTGAGTGTGCGAGCAAATGCGTGTTGTTACGAGCGCTGGACCGTCGAGTTCCGTGTTGTTGTGTGGGGTCCTCGCCGTGAAAACTCTCTCTCTATCTGTTTGCAGACGTTGGTTGGCTGCTTCGGTGGTAGTAGTGGGAGAAGAAGGCGGGAGAACTTGCGTGTGTATATATATATATATATATATATATATATATATATATATGTGTGTGTGTATGTGTGTGCGCCCTTTACTCATGGATACATTTATATGTGAGTATAGACGTGTGCGTGCGAGTGAATGAAGAGAGACAAAAGTAGGGAAAAATAAATTCAAAGAAACTGAGGTAACATTTTTGAAGTAAAATGTATGATGAGACTTATCAAAGAAGAAAAACACTATAAAAAGAGCACACGGAAAGATTTTTTTTTCTATTTTTTTTTTGTTTTGTTTACGAATTGTAAATAACATGAAAAGAATAAAATAATTTAATTACAAAAAAGATAGACACGTTTAAATTAAAAGAATTATTTTAAAATAATAAATAAAAATTACGTTTATCTTCAGCTTTTATAAACCTGTAAGTCAAACTTTACGTACTTCAGTTAAAAAGTACGTGCGTGCGCAAATGTGGATATCTTAATTAATATTAAAAAAAAAATAGAACGAATTTTTACATATATTTTTTTATTCTGCTTGACTTTTTTTTTTTTTTATCAAAAGCTGGATTTTGATAGCATCAAAAACGCGATCGTGTCATATATAGAGGGCTAAGGTCGCTATGACGTGCGATGTGTGTTATGTCTCTAAAATTAATAAATACGTGTAGAGACTTTCGTCGTGATTGTAATTGAATTTAAAATGAGCTTCTATAAACTGTGAATTAGCTCTGTTATTATTATTTCTACTTTTTGTCGCATTTTTCAAGGCATGTCGAATTCGAGATTATCGCGGGAAGTGCATAAATAATGTTTGTAGTTACAAAAAAAAAAAAAAAAAAAAGATAGATGTATTGTCACAACTCAACGTCATCCCCCAAAACAAACAATAAAAATAATTCAAACAAAAGATAAGCTTCTTTCACCAACCTCTGTACATATTTATTTATTTTTCACACTAAAAGCAGGAGGTTGAACAGTCACTATTATAACTGCTATTTACTACCACTACTACAACCACAACGAGTTCTACAATGATTAATATTTGTCAACTGAATTCCTCATACAAGATATTTTTCAAGTTCTGCTGCTTTATTACAGGTTGGGATAAGAAGACAACTAACGCTTTTGCTGTAGTATTAGACCAAATAGAGCTGAAAACTCAAGGGAAATGACTCGATCTTTTGCATTTGAATCGTTCCTGATTACATTTTTTTACTGTTTTGGATTTTCGTTAAGCTCTTCTCGATGTACGGTGTTGTTTAGATTGTTTTTGTTTTTTTCTTCTATTGTTTTTCTCTCAGATTTCGGTTCGGTTTGATAGGAAGATAAAAAAAGCTATTTATTCAGTTATTAGCAATGATTGTTTTATTATTTCTCTCTGTGATTAAAAAAATAATCTCGAATTTCATTAGAGTTTAAGGTTTTGTTTCCCTTTTTTTTTCAAAATTATTCATTATTAACTTAACTTTTAAAAATACAAAGTTCACATCTGATGTTCCGTATTCGAATACGTAAAATTATTATTATTGCTTCTTGACTCTATAGTTTCAAATTTGGTTTTATGTTTTTATTTTTTGTTTTATTGTTTTTTTTTGTTTTTTTGTTTTATTGCTTTTTTGTTTATTGTTTTTTGTGTTTTTTTTTTTTTTGTTTTATTGTTTTTTGTTATTTTTTGTTTTATTGGTTTTTGTTTTTTTTTTTTTTGTTTTATTTGTTAAGCTTCTGTTCTCGAGGAAAAAAATCCTCGAGAACAGAAGCTTTAAGTGACGCTGGCCAAATTTTGTCGAAAACTTGTTTCATTCAGACACTGGAAAAATGTAAAATAATTTTTAAGAAATCTTAATCAAATATTACTACTACAAATAATATGAGCATTACGATATTAAAGGAAGGCAATAAGATGAAAATGCAACTCAACAAAAATGAGAGAGCTTCTTTAAAATTTCGGACAAGTTAAATACTATCATATATATATATATATATATATATATATATATATATATATATATATATATATATATATATATAATTTGTGTGTGTGTATAAGCAGAAGAGATAAGAATACTCGTTTTAAATTTGATGATCAATTTTATTTTAACAAGATTTAATGGGGTTATTTCATGTTTATGTACTGATTTAATGGGGTTATTTCTGATGCTAAACGACTTAGTCATCTACAAAACTTTTTTTTAATTTTTTGTTTTAAATATGCACGCTTAATGATTTGAGGGATTTTTTTTCGATTTTATTTAAACACGTGCAATAATGTTTATATGTGTCAGACTGTAAACAATACAATATCTTAATTATTCAAGATAAGTTGAATACTATTGTTTTGTTGCTAGTAATGTGACACAAAGCCTTCCTTTTAGTTTTTGTCATTTATTTGCCTAAAAATAATAAAAAAAAAAAACGATTTTCTTGTTGATACGTATTTGAGCTGCATAACGATTTGCTGAGGTAGATATATTATTTATTTATTCTTACATTTTTAAATTTTTAAAAATTTTATTTTTAATGTCGTCGCGTATCTTTTTCAAGTTGCGCTAATCAACTAAGTTATATACACGTCTCGGTCTATGTCGAACGAAGTTTACAAATAGTATGAAAGCTGCATAAGAACATAATTTATAATCTGTAAAAAAAATCTGTTGCTCGAATTATTTTTGTTTTATTCTTCTGAAATGATATTAAGCAAAATAGTTGTCTGCTTTTTTGCGACCACAGGAAAAGCTCACAAGTTAAATTTCCACTGCAAACATGAATTCCATCATCAACGTAAAATGGTTTGTCTTACTCCAAATAACGTGAGGTAAGCGACTGATTTCACATTTACGAAAGACTACTACTACAGTTACAACCACCTTTATTTCTTTACCTAACACCGTCACTACAACGAATAGTGATATTACTATTAACACACAAGTTATTACAAGGGAATGCTGCCACTATCATTGTCACAGTTAAGTTAAATCTGACTTCCTCCTACTTCTTTTAATGTCTTCTCCCACTGTTGAGTCGGCTGCTTCCGTCGCTGCTGCTGCTGATTTCGCGACGTGGCTCATTTGATAGAGCTGTTTTTTTTTCTGCTACAAAAAAACATTTTTCTTTTAAATTAAAAAAAAAAAAAGAAAAAAAAAGGCAGTCGATAAACTTTCTATCCCGATAACTCCTCTTGTGATTTAAGGTGAGGTGTATTTTGTAAATCATGTCTGCATCAACCGTTTAAACTTTAAGCCAAAAAGATTACTATATCTACTAAATAAAATATTTAATTAATGGTAACATTATCTACTTGCTTGTTAGTTACGACTACCAATGCTGATTCATTACAACCTATTAAAATCCACGATGAGTGAGTGGGATGTTATTAAACACGCTAATTAGGCCTGCTAAAGAATTACTTCATGCTGTTATATTTGTTTTTGAAAGAACTGTCACGCTCATGTTTAGTTTACAAATTATGGTTGATAAGAACGCATTTATTTGTTTCCGGGTTCGAGTCGTGAGAAGGAAACCCAGAAATTGCGAAAGTTTATACGAACATTATTCTCAAAATATATTTATTTTCTAA